CGAGCTGTTTTCTCCACCCATGAAAATGATTTTTAAGAACAAGAGTAGTGTTTAATTTTCACATCTCTTTCTCCATTGTGCTCAGCATACATTGTTTCCTGTGTCTATCCCTGTCTCATTGGGACCCACCACTGCTGGTCCATCCCTCACATCTGACCTTGCCATTTAACTGGCAGAAGAGTCCTGGGTTAAACTCCTGGGTTACATTCTCTGATGACAGGTGATACAAAAGAAGGCAAAAAATAATCAGGCAGAAAGGACTGGGTGTTTCACCTGTCCAAGGTGGCCTCTACTGTAATTTGTGCATAAGGCTCACCACATGGGCAGCTGAGCAGGAAAAAGTCCGTGGAAGAAGTGGACCTACAATTAAATTTTTCTTATAGTTGCAGGTCCAATCTCAAACTGGTATGAACAGGCAATGGAGATTAATTTAAACTAGAGAAAAGGGTGAGGATTTGTCCCCTGATCACCACCTCATCATCTTCACTTTCTCAGCATATCCTAACAAGAATATCCAGCAGCATGTCTAAAAATAGGACTTTAGTTTCTCAACTTCCCAGCAGACGAGCATGCCAGAGCTACTGTGTATTCCTGTGCTGTGCTTGGTGAGAGGAATACTCCATGGCTGTGTAGGAGGAAGCCTTTGAGGGGAAAATCACCCATAATAAAGGCCTCTTTTATCTGAAACACCTAACATTTCAGCTCTTCAAATCCCAACACTGCGCTTTTTTAAAACAGGTTTCTATTATGTGTTAAACACATCAAATAGAGTAATTCAGTCTCATCATCTAAATTCAGTGTTGTGATAGCTGAATGAAATTGGGGCAAGCTAGCTAAAAAGGTAATAGAGGCTTTTCATAAAGGCAGCATGTGAAATGCAGGAGTGCTTTTCTCTCTTCAGGAATAAAAAAAAAAGGAAAAGGTTTTTGCTTTTCCCCAGTGAGCTTATGTTACAGAGTCAAAGACCATTGCTGGCCTATAGGGCAGGACTTTCAGAGGTGATTAGCAAGGTTAGGGCTCTATGGGGGTAGCTAGCAAAGGAAAATTCTTGTCCCAGAGAACCTGATCTGTGTGGGCAAGAGATATGGGAGGCAGTGGGGAAGAGAAATCCTCTCAGGTCTTAGACAAGTGGTTTAAGCAGGGACTTAACAGTTTTCTCTGATCCAGTACAGGCATTCCACATTTTATCATTGCTTCCAAAACTACTGTTGTTTTTCGATATGCAAAAAGGCCACTGTACAGTTCACACTGGAATGAAGTCCACAATGTGTGTATGGTTCCCTCTGTTCAAGAACAAAGTGGTTTCCTCTACAGAAGGCAGTTCTTATGTCCACCCCAGTACACCCTACATTAAAGGAAAAGTCCTAACAAGTGCATCAATAAATGTATAAAGTACAGCATGAAAATGTCACTTTCTGAAATCTCTGGGCAAAACAGCTCATTCAGTGTGCTCATATGGTCCTTCCAGCATGGCCCAGCCACAGTATTTCTCTTTTCAAAACCTCTAAAATAGCAGTTCTTTTACTCCCTTTCCTTACAGACAGAGAGCTGTAGTTCCAGACAAATTATCAAGATTGCACACAAAGTTTGTGGTGAAACAGCAACCTGAATTGAGTGGCCAATTGACATACTTGCCCTCCATTTCTTTCTGTATCTTTGTTTCAAGGCCAAGACTGTCAAAAAATCTCAACAGGATCAACACAGTAGAATTTTAAATTGCACAAGATGCTGGCAATACTGTTCAGTAGGCACAAATGCTAATGCACTTGCAATCATTTTTCTCTCCCAATTCTGAGCTGCATTCTCCAGTACACACACTCAATATAGACTTCACAAGAAACACAGTGTGTTTAAGGAATTAAGTAGAGACTCTAACATAGATGTGTGTGACAGCTCAATAGAATCTGTGTCCCATCATTAGAACAGGATATGGGGATGCTCTGTCACAGTAGGTTTTGTGGGTCTGGAAAAACGGATACACTCCCTGTGAAATCCTACAAATCTCATCCATGAAATCACAAAAATGATGCTCCTCCCCACCCTGTTTTCCCAGATGTCTGCACCTGGCAGTTCAGCACTGCCCCTGCTCCATGGGCATCCCAGTGCCACAGGCTGTGGGACACCCCTGGCTGCAGTCTTGGGTCAACAGCTCTGGGTTCACAAGGAAGGCTGAGAGAATTGGGATTGTTCAGCCTGGAGAAGAGAAGCTTTGGGGTGACCCAACTGTGCTTTGTGGCACCTGATGGAGCCCACAAGAAAGATGGAGAGGGACCTTGAACAAGGGCCTGGAGTGACAGGACAAGGAGAAATGGCTTCAAACTGACAGGGAGTAGGTTTAGATTGGATATTAGAAATAAATTCTTTATTGTGAGGGTGGGGAGGCCCTGGCACAGGTTGCTCAGAGAAGCTGTGGCTGCCCTATCCCTGGAAGTGTCCAAGGCCAGGCTGGACAGGGCTTGGAGTCTGGGCTAGTGGAAGGTGTCCCTGCCCATGGCAGGGGTGTGGAAGTAGATGATCTTTAAGATCCTTTCCAACCCAAACCATTCCTCGGTTCCATGACTCCATGCCCTGCTGTGTGTCTGTGGATGCTGCTCTGCCTGCTCTTCCCAGGCCTGGAGCTGTGACCCCCCCAGGAGCACTCAGAGCCCTGGGCTCTGGCTCTGCACAGGAGCACTCAGAGCCCTGGCTCTCCTGTGACTGTGACTGCCCCACCACCTGGGAGGCAGCAGCAGTGCTGAGCAGGGACAGGGACACACAGGCACTGTTTAGTCAGCACATTTTTCCGTGCAGGCCCAAGGGCAGCCCCGTGTGCCGGCACTGGAATGCTGCCCAGGGATGGCAGCCGGGTAATGAGGCCGGCACTCCCAGCACACAAACACTGCAGGGAATGCCAAGTATCTTGTGATGCAGGGCCCACAATTTTCCTAGTTTGCTTTCTTATGCAATGCACTCGCTTTCTTGTCTATCAGCAAATGGATGTTCTCAGGTGGGCATGTAGAGAATTCCTACAAGAATAATAAATATCCTGCCAATAATATTCCCCAGTTCCACAGTCACCTGTATTGGAGGATTTCAACCTGTCAGGATTCTACTAACTAAAATTTGTTAAACTTCCAGTGCACTTGAGAGAAGAAGGGGTAGATAGACTTTTCCACAAGGTCAGAAATATGGAGGTAATAAGCAAAGTAAGTTACTTTCCCAAAACCACAGAACTCATCAGATGGCAAACTAATTAAACCCTAATCCAGCAAAGCCCTTAGTGCGTATGAACTTTACAGCATGTGAATAATGACAATGAAATCAAATACTTAACCTGACCTACATTCTTAAGAAAATTACTAAACAGCATATGCCACACTACTTGATGCAAATCCACACAAACTAATGCAGATATCAGTATCCATCTAACCATGAGAAAAACATCTCAGTGTCAGCTGCTTTGTCCTGCTCCACTGCCTCATGTCCTAAATTCATACGGTTTCTCTTTTTATTTTTTTGCAAAAACCCTCCCTTCTATTGCCACATGTGGCTCAAATGTCATCAGGTTTTCTCTTTTAAAACCTGGTGTCAATTTAGTTCAAATTAAGGAGTCTGTCTTCTTCTGTCAGCAAGGTACAACCAAACTGCCTTTCTGGATCCCTCATGTCAGATGAACAGTCCTAATTCTTCTAATAATTGGGAGATGAGTGGTTCCTGCACTGACATCTCAGCTCTGTGAGAGTCAATCAGACAGGCCGGGTATGCAACCAAATATAATGGAGTTACCTGGACTATTTTTCTCATGTCTCCCTTGTGAAAGCTGAAACCACAATGATTCCACAAGGCCATCATAAATTTCCCTCCCTACTCATGATAAGGATGAACTATTGCACTCAGATGTTTATATTCACTAAAATACGTTTATAATAATACCTGCCTCATGTATTAAACCTGCACTTATTCTTTACTAAGTAAACGTTTATGTCAAATAAAACATGTATCTGATCAATTTGCAGAATTTTTGTGAAAGGCTATTTTAGGAAAGCTCTCTATAGCCTTATTAAGTGCCTCGTTTGTAGCCAGCACGTGGCTGTGCCGGTGCAATGTCACAGATGTCAGCGGTGCCAGTGCCCCCACACACGGACTGCACCGACAGCCCTGGCCAGACACCCCACCCCAGGTGCGGGAAGGTGCTGAACACACTCAATGCCATCAGTAACCTCCGGACCTTCGGGTCCTCGCGGCCTTCAGCGCCTCGGACCCACCGATGGGTTCCTCTCCCCATGCCCTGCCGGAGCGCCAGGGGCTCGGCCGGACCCTCACCCCCGGGCCGGCCCCTCTGCCCCGGCCCTTCGCCCCTCAGGGACCCGCGCTGGCCGCGGGCTCCTCGGGGGCGAGCTACGAGCCCTGACATACCCGTGAGAGAGCGGGGAGACGCTGAGCTGGGCGCTGAGGAGCTGAAACGAGCGGTGAGGGAGCTGAGGTGGGCAATGAGGGGCAGAGGGAGATGCTGAGGGGAGCGCTGAGGGGCTGGCCCGCGTGGTGAAGGCTGACGAGGTCTGAGGTCACTGAGGGGCTGCGGCGGGGGCGGAGCGGGCACTGAGGGGCTGAGGCGGACACTGAGGGCAGCGGCGGGAACTGAGGAGCTCAGGCGGGGCACCGAGAGGGGCTCAGGGGGACACCGAGGGGCTGCAGCGGGGCACCGAGGGGCTGCAGCGGGCCAGAGGGGCTGCATCGAGGGCGGCCGGCGGCCGCGCATGTACCGCGCGGTGATTGCCCGGGCGAGAAGCGGCGGGCGGGCCCGGCCGCCTCCGCCTCCCTTCTCCCTCCCTCCGTCCGTCCCTCCCGCCCGCTCCCCCGCCGCGAGCTCGCCTGCCGGCCTCCCTGATGCCGAGGGATGGATAGAGCGGCTGCCCTGCGAGCCGCGGCATGCTGGAGAGGAAGGAGCGGAGGCGCGAGGCGGCGGGGCCGCGGGGTTTGCCGGCCGTGCGGAGCACGCTGCAGCAGTGCGGGCTGCTGCAGGACCTCATCGACATCTCGCTCTCCAACCTGCGCGGGCTCCGCACCAAGTGCGCCGCGTCCAACGACCTCACGCAGCAGGAGATCCGCACGCTGGAGGTACGGGCCGGGCGGGCGGAGCGGGGCGCGGCCGGGCCTGCCCCTCCCGCCGCCCTGTCCCGCAGCGCCGGGCCCGCGCCGCGCCTTCCCCCGCGGCGAGGGCTTGCTGGCGGCGGGCAGGGAGGGCGGGACGCCCCCGCAGCCCCGTCCGCGGGTCGGTGGTGCCGGCCCGCCGCGGGCCCCCGGCCGGGAGGGCGCCGGGCGGAGCCGGTGCCGGCGGAGCGCGGGCAGGTGCGGGGGACAGCGCCCGCAGCCGCGGCTGCCCCGCGCCGGGGGCGGGTTCGCGGGCGCTGCGAGGCCGTGTCGGGGCCTGGCCGGCTCCCGTGTCACTGCGGAGCGGGATGCGATGGGGGCTCCGGGCTCCCTGGCAGGAGCTGCGTCCCCACAGCGCTGTCCTGGGGAGCCGTGCGGACTCCCCTTGCCCTCAGGTCCTTGGTGTCTACTCTTGATGGTTCCTGCCCTCTGCTCCAGGCCTGCCTCTCTATCCCTGGCTCGGTTTCACTGATCTAATCCGATCCTCCTTTTCCCTCCGTTGTTGTGGCTCAGACAGCATCACAGACCAGGCTGGAGAGACGTTGTGCTGTTTAGAAATACTACACAAAACTCTTCATGCACAAAACATGTGCTGTTGTGATGCTCTCAAAGAAGGGCTGGATCTGTACATGTCTGCATAAGAAAAGGAGTGTAGATTTATTTTTCCTTAGTTCATTTGACCTTTAGGTAATTAAATGACGTTTCCTTTTACCTTCTGTGCAGGTAGTGTTGCTCTAAGTAAACAATCCCCTCCTGTCCCCTTCTTTGATTCAAGTTTGAAGTGAAGGCTAATGCTCCTTTTCTGTACCTGGTGCTGGAGGCTGTGGAGCTGGATAGGGTATTGGGCCTTTAGGAAGACAGATCATCACAACACTGTAACTGTAACAAACCTACATGCTGCAAAATCCATCACATGAGAAATGAAGGTTGGGAAAAAAACTGTGAAACAATAGGTGGTAGGTAGCTTTTGGCACAACCTCATGGAAATCTATCATTCTTCCTTTTTTCTTCCTCTGCCTTTTTTGTGTGTTTTTGTTTGTTTGTTTTGTTTTGTAGGATGTTTTGGTTTGGTTCTTCTCTTTTTTTACCCAAATTTACAGCTCTTTGCTTCCTCCTGTCACCTCCAAAGAGCATTCCAAGGGCTATTCTTTCTGAAATAATATTTGTATAGGCTTTTGGCAGCCCTACTGACAGCCTTTTTAATGCCCAAACAATATCAATCAGCATCATTTCGGAAAATGATCATCACTGTTTTGATAATGGACCTGTTCTAAAAGGAAACCTTTATTCACAAAGGATAAAGGCCTTCTATCACCTTCAGGTTCTTCTTAAAGCAACAAAAGCTGTCTCTAGCAATAGTTGTTGATTGTGTGCACTCAATCCTCTTCAGCATTTATCTGGTTAAACAAATGGGTGCCACACTCACTGATGATCATAAATTTATGATCAGAAAAAATCTTAGCTGAAAAAAATCTCTTTGATGCACGGTCCAGTATGTGATTTCTCTGGGAGCTGAACCAAGTGCTGGCTCTCTGCCCACACGTGGAGCCATGGGCACAGCACAGGCTCCGTGCCCTTTGTGCCGTTCAGTTGCTGTACCAAGACACACGTCAGGCACAGCCCGAGCTGCACAGCCCGAGCTGTGCCTCACTCCCTGTGCCAGGCTGGGGCTGCAGAGCCAGACTGCAGGAGCTGGGGGTCTGTGTTTGCTTCCCCAGGCTGTCCTTCCTCAGGGAGCTCCCGAGGGAGGTGGGCCCAGTGCTGTCCCAGGTACCAGGTGTAACTCCTGTGCTTTGGTTCACGTGTCAGCAATGCCAGTGTGGCCACGTGTGTTTGCCTGTTGGATTGTGTCAGCAGAGACCCCCTGGTCCTGCACAGAGCTGGGGTGCTGCTGGTTTGACTGTGGGCAGCTCCTCAAGAGTCCGTAGTTGAGCCAGCACCTGGGAGCTCGGGGATCTCGGGGCCTGCTGTGCTTCCCTGGTGGCCTTGATGAGCCACCAAATGGCTCTGTGGGTCATGGGTAGTGGTGCTGGTGGTGCAGCTGCTGGGCCTGCGAGCCACGTCTGTGGGTCTGAATCCTCATGGGACTTCTCCTCTGGGCAGAAACTTTTTCATGGAGAAAGAGCGATGAGAAATTACTTGCATCAATGTAACTGCTAAACTGTGTAGCGAAGCCACAAAGAAATTATAAAACTTAAGAGAGGTAAAAGCAGCAGACTGGAAGGAGAAAGTAGTTTGGGGAGGGAGGAGATTTGATTTTGGAAGTTGAAGAAGTAGTTCCTGAGGTTGAATTCAAGGCTGCTCTGCGTGATTTGAATATACTAAGTCAAATATACTAAGTCAAAAATCAGTGTCTTGATTTCACTTGTTATTGTTCAAAGAGATAAAAAGGCAGGGAAGTTTCTACAATGCGATTTGTACATAGCTCATACATCTCTGGAAGTTGTGTAATGTCTAGTTTTCATGTCAAAACCGTGGATGTAACAGGTGAAGGGATATCTCCTAGAGCACAATCTTGTGGATCTGAACTCAGACACTCAACACCACGTGTAGGGTGGGTGCTGTCAGGTGGACGTGGCTGTCTCTGTACCAGTTCAGGTCAGACAGCAGTGCATGCTCATGGCCACTTCTGATCCCAGGGTTAGCACAGCCCTGAAGGAAAGTGCTGGAGGTAGTTGTAATGTGAGTGGAATGCACAGCCCAACACACCAGTGCAGGTTCATCTAAATGCTTGTGCTCTCTGTGCTGGACACACGAGCTTGCTCCGTTTGGTGCCGCTTCCCTGCGTGCCTGTTCCAGCTCAGGTGGTGTCACTTACACCACATGGCTCACCCTGTGTGTGTCACCACGGCAGGAACTCCAGCCTGGCCTAGGGAACTCGAGCGCATGCTCAGGTCCCTCCCAGTTCACTGAAGTGCTCTAAGTCTTTCCTCATTCCTCTTGCCTATAAGGGCTTCTCAAAATAAAGCACATGGTAGATAAGGATTTCAAACTGGGGCCTTGACAGGTACAGATTTGCATCACGGGGGCTCAGATGAGTGCAGGGAGAACTTTCTGTAATACAGGAAGGAGGGGAAACAAAGGGCTGTGGGAATTCTTGCAAAGAATATGTTGAGTGTAGATGTGTTACGTGAGCTGACTGTTTCACATGTATGAAGGCTGTTTCTTAGAAGGGCAGGGAGTTTCCCTGTAGTGGAAAGTAGATTCTGTTAGTTTGGTTATTAGCAGACTGGGTTCTCTGATGCCACAAGGACTGGTAATTTTTTTAAAGTTTTATGTGTTCTACCCAATAAGTGCTTGAGTGTTTTTCTTTCTACCCAGTGCTGGGCTGTGCTTTCAGTTCTGTCCTAGCAGGTTTACTCACTTCTGAAGCTGACTACAAAACTGAAATGGAAAATCATGGTAATTTTAACCCATACGTAAGAGAGCAAGAAATGTCTTGCCATGTGGTGAGCATCCAGTGTTGTTTCCAAGCATCCTTGGAAAGAAATAGCTCTGTCAGCCTTTACCTCTGTCCCTACACTAATCCCTTGCGTGACTCTTAAATTGGTTGCACAATGTTAGAAGCATATTATTTTTAGCCTTTTTTTTTGTTTTGGTGAAAGCAGTATCTTTCTGGATTCATTTTCTGGCTGGGAAGCTGATGATGGGACTGGATATCTGTAGTGAAGCATTTCTAACTTCCAACTGCAGCTCAGGGCAGTCTGTTGGAGGTGAGGAGGAGAATAAAGTCTTGGGTCCTGTTGGCAGGGAAGGTTCCTGTGGTTTCTCAGTCTGTTCTGCTGGAAACAGCTGGTTTGGATAACTGTGGGAATTCCCAGGCCAAGTGAGACACCTTCCCCCAGCCCTTTTAACTGCAGCAAAGGTGAGGCAGCCCCAGGCTGAACCGAGACCTAGGGTGGGTTTAGACTGCAGCTGTATTTTGTCCTGCTGTGGTTCTGGCCTCACAAGGTGACTGCAGTGCTCCTGGCAGGGCAGCTGCCTCCACACTGGTCATGGTGGGAGGGTCGGGGTGGGGCAGGAGCACACATGGCTGTGTTCTGCCTGGGCTTTGAGAGCAAGTGTCCTCCAGGCTCCCTGGCTGGACTCAGTCGGTGAGAGAGACCCTCCTGGCCTGTGTGCAGAGATCACTTGGACTTCTTCCTCAGGAGTGTCTTCTGTTCAGCACCTCCAGAGAGCAGAGCACCAGATCAGAAAGTCTGACTCCAGCTGTGCTGTGTCACAATAAGTCAGTCTACTCTGCACAGATCAGTTATTCACTGTGGCTGGATGATACCTGTGTATTAAATCTGTTTGAACTTGCTTTGGCATTATCTTGATTCATTTGGCAATTTGTCCAGAAAAGGCTTATCTTACCAAGCTTACCTTACCAAGCAAACTCTGAACAGAAACAAATGCTTTGAAAATGGGGGGGAAGCATGAGAGGAGAGGAAGAAGGATTGTAATGGTCCACACTTGCAGACTGGAAGTGGTGTGCATAAGGAAAGGACCACTGTCAATTTAAAAATTGGAAGAAGTGGGAGTAGTGAATATTTCAGGCCAAACTCCGACCTGTAGCCACATGTTTGTGAGCCTTGTTCAGCTGAAAGGACTTCCTTTCCCAGCAGGTCTTATGTAAGAGAAGAAGAAAGTCTCTTACTTCATCTTACTTTTTGCATATATGTAACACATTTGTTTTTCTTAAAAGTGTCTTCTGGTTTTGTAGGACTTTCTTTTTCTTAAATTTGTGCACTTGCACCAGATAGGCTTCAACAGAGGTTCTGTTTCACTTGGAAGGAGATGGAACCATATAGTACTATCCAGTCTGTGGACATCATCTGTCCTTTGTGACAGGTGTTTCTGTATATGATCAGAATTTGTACACCATAATGAGATTTAGCACATCTCCTACCATTGATTTTTATAAATGTTGGCACGAAAAGTCAGCAGCAGTGTTTTAAGTTACCCAGAGTTCCCAGGACAAGCTC